TTTTTTTTTTTTTTTTTTTTTTTTTTTTTCTTCTTCTTTTTTATTGTTTATTTTTATAATTTTGTTTACATATATATATTTAGATAAAAATCATTTTTTTTTTTTATGTATTTAGCATTATATACATTTATTTACATATATATTATTTATATGTATTTTATTTTTCTTTTTTTGTAAAAATATATATATATATATATATAATTTTTTTTATTATCAAGTATATATCATTAAATGTATATATTTATATTGGATCAAAATGATAGTAAATAATTACAAAAAGCCCAAAAGAGTATGCTTTAGTGTATATTATAATAAAGGATTTTTCTATGGTAAAAGGTACAATTATAATGGTTATAATAGATATAAGAATTATTATAACTATTATAAATTACAAAATTACAAAAAAAATAATCATTACGAGCTATATAACAAGAGAAAAGAAACATTCAGAAAGACTGGTTTATTAAAAGGAAACTTTAAAAAATCTAAATTAGAAATTGAAAATAAAAATATAGAAACACAAGAAAAGAAAAAGGGAATGAATAAAAAAAAATGTATTATAAAAATACTTAAAAGGCCAACGGAAATAATGAAAAATGAAGAAACAATAAATAATGTGTGTGATGAGAAAAAAGAAGAAAATAAAGAAACCAAAGAAAAAAAAAAAAAAAACAAAAAAACAAAAACGGAAAAAAGCACATCTGTAAAAAAATCAAAAGAAGGCTTTAAATTTTCTTCAACACAAGAACTTTTTAATTTATTATTGAAAGATGTTAAAGAAAATTCTATTGAAGAAATAATATCATCTAATAAAGAGATAGAAGATAAAGAAATTGAAAATCAAAGGGAATATACAAATAAGAGAAATAAGAATATTAAAATAGATAATACAAAAAAAGCAAATATTATTAATGAATTAAAAGTGATAGAAGAAAAAAATAATATTAAAGACAATTATGAAATTAAAAAAGACATCAGAGAAAATAATTTTACTAGTGATAATGAAAAATTTTTTTTAGAATATATAAATAATGAAAATGATAATAATAATAATAATGAAGAAAACACTACAAAAAATTTTTACATTTCAGTAATTAAAAATATAAATAAAAGATACGAAAATGATTCCCTTTTATTAAATGACAAAAGTAACAAGAATAATTTTCCTAATAATATAAACTTAGAAAATAACAGTAATAAATCCGTAAAAATGATAAAAAATTCTGAAAAAAATTATTATAATAAAATACATGACAATTATTTGAAACCTGTACCTTCGAAGTCATTATATTCCTTATCTTATCCTAATCTTTTAAATCATACATCAAAAGAAGAATTGTGTAAGAATAATAGTTTAAAATATGAAGAAACAAAAAAATCAAAAAAAGAAGAGGATGCAAATTTATTTGTAATTCCATTATACATGAGATCACCAAAGCCTGAACAAATTCCAATACCAATTTATTTATCAGAGGATGGTGATAAAAATGCAAGTAAGGAAGAAATTAATTTAAAAGATAAAGAAAAAAATGATAAAAATAAAAGTAATATTGATATTAATGTAAGGGAAAATATTAGTAATGTATATAAAGATAAGATAACAAATACATATAATGGGAAAACAAGAAATTGTACAAGAAATTTAAAAGAAATTCCATATGTAAACATGAATAAAGAAAATTCTTTAAATATTCCAAAAAATATTACTGAGAAAAAAAAGAAAAAAACATATTTGAATAGAAATTTTGTTACTTTCAATTTAGAGCAAAAATCCAAATTAAACTATGATTCTATGAACTTCAATATGGGAAATATGAAAAAAAATAATCAATTATATAACTCACATTCCTATATGAAAACATCAGGTTATAATGGGTATAATCAAAACAAGAATGGAAAAAACTTTAAAGTAGATAAATTTTTTTATAACAAGAAATATAAGGTTAAAACCAATTTTAATGATAATCAAAAAAATAAAAATTTTCATTTTTTAAAAGATGTAAAAATTGCTGTATATTAATATATGAAATAACATGATTATATATATTTATAATGTTTAAGATTATTTTAGCATTGCTATTTTATCATTTAATTAGTTAAATTTTACTAAAAAAAAAAAAAAAAAAAAAAAAAAAAAAGATGGAATAAATATAAATAAAGGTGTATATAAATACTTATATAAATCAATTGTAAAGTACTCAATATTTATTTATAAATTTAAAAAAAAAAAAAAAAAAAAAAAAAAAAAAAAAAAAAAAATTATGAAAGGATGAATGTAGAAAGTTATATTAATGACTATATATGATATATGTATATGAAGTTTATTATATTTAATGTTATGAAGTGTTTTATCAAGAATTGAGAATATATAAAATTTATTTTTTTATATATATATATTAATAATGTATTTTTTTTATTTTATTATAATTTAGTTTTTTACATTAGAAAAACGTACAATTTAAAATTTTATAATTTTTTATGAATAATGTATAGATAAAAACAAATAAACAAAAAAACTTAAGAAATAATTATGATTTGAAGAGATGAATAAAACAAAGTTATATGAAAATAAAAATAAAGGAGATAATACAGAAAAAAAGGTTGATAAACTTAAATATTTTATTAAAAGTGTATATATTTTTTATTTCTTTTTTTTTTTTTTTTTTTTTTTTTTTTTTTTTTTGTTTTACGTAATAGATTTTCTCTTCATTTTTATATTTTTCTCCACTGTTAAAAATTACATCAATATAGTTTATTCATGATTCTGAAATATTTCTAAATAAATTACATATATATATTTAAAGATAGATAGATATATGCAAAAATGTACATTTTAATTATGACTTTAATAATGTATATGTAAATTATTAAATTTATTGTGAAATTTTTCTTTTACTAATTATAAGAAACTTATGAACGTAACTAACATAGTTAAGATAATAAATATGATTGTATTTGTAGTAAATTTAAAATAAAAAAAAAAAATTGTAGTTAATAAAAAAATTCTCAATTATAGATATAAAGAAGCAAGAAAAAAAAGAAAAATATAAAATAAGAAGTTAAAAGAAAAAATTTTATAAAGTATATTCAAACTAAAATTTTATAAATAATAAAAGAAAAAGGAGTTTCATTTTGTTTTATATTAAGAAAAATTAATTATAAAAAAGAAAAAAAAAAAAAAAAGGCATATTCATAAAAGAATTTTATATCACGAAAATAGGTGTCTTAAATAATTTTATTTTTAATTATTTTCTTTAATTTTTCAATTTTTTATAGATTTAATAAAAAAAAAAAAAAATACAGGTATATTTGTTTTTTCTTTTTTTTTTTTTTTTTTTATTTCATATTTTAGTTTGACTAGTTAAATCTAAGATTTTTTGAACGTTATTTATATATTTATTAATTTGATTGTTTAACAGTTCCCAGTGAGTATCATCGAAATGCCTTAATATGGTCGTTTTCATCTGAATTGTTTTGTTTATTTGATCAATTTTCGCATCAATAACACCACTTCCAATAGCTGCAACAAGTATTTGTTCAATTTTTAGAGGGGTTATATTTAGTTTTTCCGAAATGTATTGAATATTTTGAATTTTAATGTCTTTAAATAAAGATATGATAGATAATAAATAAATTTTGTTTTCACAAGCTTCCAAATTAATGTTATATTTTTCAAAAAAATCAACACCATATGTATTCTTAAATGTTAAGAATTCATGAATACCATATTTATAAAAAATAACTAATAATTCAAAAAGTGGTTGATGTTCTTTTATATTCTGTAAATTTTGTATAGCATCTAAATTTAAAATTTCATGAAAATAAATATTACTGTTTAAATTAATAGAATCAACTATTAATTCAACACTTGCATTAATTGTGTTTGGATGATTTAAAATTTCTTCACTTTCTTTTTGAAAATAATAAATATGTTTTTTTAAATGTTTAAATGAATCTTCATATTTTTTTAACTTTTTTAACTCTTGAGCAATTATTAAATAAATTTGTCTTTTTTCTCTTGAACTAATATTCCATTCTTTTATCCATTGATCAATAAATTTAATGTATGGCAGAATATTATGAAAAATATTATTCTGTGAAGAAAATTGTAAAATTGCTATAAAAGTAGGAAATCTAAAAGAAAAATTAACACTAAAAGAATTGTATAATAATTGTAAAATTTTTAATCTTAATTCAGGAAATACATTATAATTTTTTATAGCCTTAATAAAATTATTTGTTGCATTATTTAAATCTTCTACACTTTTAAATTCCAGCTGTAAAATAGATATTAAGATAACAAAATATTCTTCTACTTCCTTATAAAATTCATTAAAACTCTTTACACTTTCTTTATTGTCAATTATAACTTTAATTTTATTATTTTTTTTTGTTTCAACGAGGGTTTCAAATACAAAATCACTAGCTGATAATAATAAGGAAAATATTTCGGATCTATTATTACTTTCTGATTCTTTATCTTGTTTTTGATATATATTTAAAAATTTTTTAAAAAAAACTTCATATTCTTGAATATTTTTTTGCTTTAATATCCCAAGTATCCAATCTCCAATAGTTACTGCAGTAACTGTTCCCGATATATCATGTGTTAGCTGAATATAAACTGACATCTTTGTATAAAAAAAAAGGAAAAATAAGGAAAGGAAAAATGAGAAAAACAAAAATGAAATACAAACAACAAAACTTTATATATAACTTTCTATCCTTTATTTTCACTTTTTTTTTTTTTTTTTTTTTTTATAATATAAAAATAGGATAATAAAGCAAACTACTTGTTTTCTTCTGCAAGTAATTTTATGAAATTACAAAAATAAAAGTTTTCACAGATTATTTTAACCTAATTATTATTTATATAGATATTATTTTTAAAAAATCAATTTTTTTTTTTTTTTTTTTTTTTTTTTTATATACTTAACATTTTTGTTAATTATATTTTTTTGAAATAATTTTTATAAATTTTTAAATGATAAAATTCTTCTGTTTATTTTTTTATTTTTCTCAATATTTTATTATTGATATCATTTTTATTGTTTTATTTTTTATTTTTTATTTTTTATTTTTTATTTTTTATTTTTTTTTTTTTTTTTTGTATATATGTATCTTACAAGATATACTTAAAATTATTATAATACTATTTATATTTATTATATATACTTTTTTTTTTTTTTTCTTTTGTTTTTGCTTGTTTTATGTTATTCTTTAATTACATATATATTAAGGAATAAAAAATATATCGACAAAATTTTATTTAATTCATTTTATTTTGTTATAAAAAATTTTATATCTCATAGAAGTAAAGCTTTTTTTATTTTTTATTTTTTATTATTTTTTTTAATTGTGCTTTTATTATTTTATATTGTTTATACAAAAATATGTAAACCTATTTATATGCATATTTAGCTTCAAAATTTTTTTCCAAAAAAAAAAAAAAAGGGTAAATATTTTATAAAGAAAAAACAAATTACACTTTCTCAAGTGATAGATTAAATACTTTTCTATATATTTGTAATTTTATTATGTATACATGTTATTTTGATAATTATTTATTAATAGATATTTAGATTTATATGCTATTTGAAGAATTATGTTAATTTATGTTACTTTAATACATTTTGTCGGGGTGATATAATTTGAGTGAACATTTGAATAATTATTAATTAAATACACTTTTAAATATTCATTAAATGAATATCAAAAATGATATATTCTTAACAGAAAAAGAAAATTTTTTTTTTAAATTATATTTTTATTTTAAAAGATATTTTGTTTTATATATTTTTTTTTTTTTTTTTTTTTAATAGTCTAATTTTTATATCAATAATAACATATGAAAATATATTAATGTAAAAGAAAAATTAACATTTTAACAGTAGCAACACATTAAATACATTTAATAAAAAAAAAGAAAAAGTATATAAAAATATATATATAATTAAAGATATTAGTATGTAACAATATATATATATATATAATACCTCTTTTTTTTTTTTTTTTTTTTTTTTTTTTTTTTTTATATTTTTTTTT